AAAATATATATATATAATCTTGCTTTAAAAGCATTTATTATTTAGGTTTTTCAAGACAGGGTTTCTCTGTAGCTTTTGGAACCTGTCCTAGAACCAGCTCTGGTAGACCAGGGTGGCCTTGAACTCACAGAGATCGGCCTGCCTCTGCCTCCCGAGTGCTGGGATTAAAGGTGTGCGCCACCACCGCCCAGCTGTATTTTTTCTTTTGTGTGTATGTGATGTGTGTGTACACATATGTCACTGCAAATGTACGGAGGGTACAGGACAACTTTTCTCTCCTTCCATCTGTGTTTGAGGCAGGGTCTCTCTCATCTCTTTAAACTTTTTTTTTTTAATTTATAGTGGTGTGTGATTGTGTGTGCGCGCGAACTGACATGGTGCATGCTTACCATACTGTACTTATAGAGGTCAAAGAACGATCACAGATTCAGTCTCTCCTTCCGTCATGTGAGTCCAGGCAACTGAATTCCACTTATCAGGCTTTTGTGGCAAATGCCTTTACCTGGTGAGTCGCCTCCCATTCCTAATAACGCAGTCATCTTAAGTGACTCACTGAGGAAAGGGGTTGCTAGGTAACTGTTGGTGTTTACTAACATCAAGCCTCACTGCAGAGGAAGGAGCTTTTAAAACATTCAGTCATTCTCAGCACCTCAGAAGTCCCACTGCAGATAGGCAAATCTTTAATTGTATCTCATCTGCAAAACCAGACTCCCCATCTTACCTACTCAGGAAAGATGGCTGCACATACGTAGATCACAGAAACTCACAGGCAACATTCCCATATTCTTTATCTTTTTCTTCACACTGCATTTCTCCATTCTCACAGAGATACCCTGATTCAGGCATAATCCCCACAGCTCCACAGTTTAGAGGAGCAAAGCAATGATTTATAGAAGGTATCAGAGTTAATAGGGCTTGGACCCTGAGCCGGAAAGTGGGAGGGGCTTCCTCCTCCCCATCATGCATTTCAGGTGGCCCACAGTACACACACGCCTGGAGTCATAGCCAGAATTGGATGCTGCGGATCTTGCTTAAAAGTTCATTATGCAGAATCAAAGCACACATTTTTTTTTTTTTTCGAGACAGGGTTTCTCTGTGGCTTTGGAACCTGTCCTGGAACTAGCTCTGTAGACCAGGCTGGTCTCGAACTCACAGAGATCCTCCTGCCTCTGCCTCCCGAGTGCTGGGATTAAAGGCGTGCGCCACCATCGCCCGGCCATTTTTTTTTTTTTTAAAGTTTTTGAGGCTTTTTATTATTTCCTTCTCCTGTCAGAGGCACCATATTTTTAAAAGTGGCTCTTGGGCTGACAAGATGGCTTAAAGGGTAAAGGCTCTTAACTGAGCCCTATGACTTCATTTTCTTCCCTAGAACCCACAGTGGAAAGGGAAAACCAAGGCTTGAGAGCCATCCTCTGACCTCCACATACATACACTAAATAAATAAATAAATAAATAAATAAATAAAGGAAAAGGGTATTGTTGTTGTTGTTTCTTAAAGTTCATTATGTAAAGTACAACATTTGGGCCCTAAATAAATTCCTGAATTAGTCTTCAGGCTCTAAAACTCACTGGGCTTTCCCTAGCAGACATTCTTAAAATGCCAATACCTGCACACAACCTGCAATTAATAACTCAGAAGCTCTTGGGACAGGTGACCCATACCTACCGGCTTCTTAAGTGACTACGTGCAACCAATGCTGAGATTTGCTGCACTCTCTGGCCTTGGTGTCCAGGCAGTAAGCTGCTATGTCTGGCTACCAATCTCCAACTCTTTTTTTTATAGGGACTCAACAGTTGTCTTGATAAGCAGGTAACCATTAATTAATCAATATTAATGTAATAATATTAATCATAATCAATGTGAACAATCAATTTAATATAATTACTCATTTTTAGTAATTAACATGAACAATTAATATTAAATTAGTATTAAATATTAGTGGCTGGGTCTTCATAGCTGGCTCTCATCTGCAGAATTCACCCCTATGCAAAAATATCACCATGTTTCCACACTTTCCCTTTTAAACCAGAGACACCCCTTTTATGGAAGAGGACATCAAGTGGAGCCTGGCTTTCAGGACATTTACATTAAGCCCTTGCTTACAAAGAAGCCAGGGAAGCAGACACAAGCATGAGCTCTTAAGACATGCAGTTTTCAAATCTGCATTAGGTTCCTTCCACAGTCCTGTGACCTCACATAAATCGGTCACCTGGGCATACCGTCTGTTTACACGGAAATAATCCAAGCACCTACCTTTCATAGGAACACTGAAAAGATTAAAGGTAAAAAAATGTCTGCAGCTGTGTTATAATCTGGGCTCTCTGCTTTATTTCCTTTGAAAAGAAAAGTAGGGGGGGAAGGACCACCATTTAAAACCAGATCATTTTGATGATCGATTTGTAACACGTAATCAGATCTGAGTGTCTCCTCTAACACAGATGATGGAAACTATTCATATTCTTAGCCACAGAAGTTTCCAGATCTCCCTGGGACTAATTCCAACCAGCCAGACTAGTCTGTAGGCATTGTGAGGACTAGGTGACCTCTCTAAAGCCAGCAGAGTCATGCAGAATGACAGGAACATTTTACCCAAGAAGGGCTCTTATTTTTATCCCTCTTGGCCTGAAGAAGGGCTCAGCCAGAGAGAGAACAGAACTGCTCATGCGTCATGGGCTCAGCTCAGGCCTTCCAACCTGCTCGAAGGCCTGGGCGTTTGCCAAGTCATTCTGCACAGCCTGTCTGCATCTCCCCAGATGACAGGTGAATGGACCAGGCCTCAAGGGGGCTTGCGTGTCATCACCCTGGCTGAGCTTCTGCTGTCATCTGACTGTGTGACGGGCACTGAGAACCCAGAAAAAGAAAAAAAAACGCTTAACCAAGTAACACCCACAGGTGGAAATTCCCTCCAACTACACAGCCCCAAACCTAAACAGCTGCTTCTTCCCGGGGTGAACCATCAACAAAAAATGCACAAGGAAGTGTGTGGTGCGTGCATGTGTGCATGTGTGCGTGTAAAACAATCACCCAAACAGACTCAACAGCTTCCAAGTCATGTTAGGCTCACTAGTGCTACTTCCTTCATTATTAACACTTTGCTAATATTAACTTTTTTTTCAAAATAGGGTTTAAAATAGAAATCAACAGACCCCAAGGACAATGTCAGACTCAGTATGGGATGGGAGGTCTGGGAAGGCCACACTGAGGGGCTCTGAGCCCAACCATTGTGTAGCCTCAGTAAAACAAGCCTTGATGTGACCCCGAGTCAGCTGAAGCAAGAGTGCAAGAACAATCAGGTTTCCGCACAAATCTAATTTGGGGCTTATTTCCTGAGAAACCCTCTTTCTCTGCTGTTGCTGCCTGCTCCACACTTCCATTTAGACAGGGAGGAGGAGGTATGGGAGGACCAGGAGTGAATTTTCACTTGGGGTGATGGACTGACTTACAGATTCACTGAGGGATTATGGCACTGCATGTCTGAGGGGGGGTCCATCTCAGAAACAACACCACAGCTACCATCTACACCTTCAAGTACTGGGGGTTGGGGAAGCCATGTTGCAAAGAGTTGTTTTCTGCTTGCCCTGAACCCTCACGGTCATGAAAATCTCCCTTTCTCTCCCTCTCTCTTTCTCTTCCTCTCTATTTCTCCCTCCTTCCACCCCCTCTCCCTCAAAACTAGGACAACATGAATGTTTTTGTGTGGTTTTGGTTTTGGTTTTTAGAGACAGGGTTTCTCTATGTATCACTGGCTGTCTTGGAACTCACTCTGTAGACCAGGCTAGCCTTGAACTCAGAGATCTACCTGCCTCTGCCTCCTGAGTGCGGGATTAAAGGCAGGCGTCACCACCACCCAGCCAGTCAATGTGAATGTTAATGATTCAAATCAAGAGTCTGGATTATCTGGGGCTTTTGAGACTTACCCTTACTACATAGTTGAATCTTCTGGAATCCAGGATGGCGGTTGAGAAGTCCAGTCGGTTGAAAGCCTCCCCCAGAGTGCAGTAGCCATGGCGCTGCATGTGAGCGAGACAGAGGCACACATTATTACTCCTGCCATGCGCAGGTCATTCTCCAGCGCCCTCCGGAGGGACTCTACTGAACCATCTGGCTGCCCATCTTAGAGGACTGGGTTTTGCCTTCCCTTCTGCATCCAGATTCCGGGAGACACAGATGGATGGTGCATCCCACATCTACTTCAGCTGGAGACTCACCTGTGGACTATCTCTTTTCCAGACTAGTTCCACCCTAGCTCTCTACCTATGCTAGTCTGGGAGTGCTAACGCACAGTGCACCACTGGGAACGGAGGATATGCCATTTGGGACTAGGACAGTGTCTCTCACACTGAGAAGCGATCGGTTCTCCCTGCCCCCACGGTGATATCACCCTGCACCCACTGGTGTGCTTTGCTTTGGAAGGAAGAAATCTGAACGCTTAGTATTTATGCACAGAGAATCGGGAATACAGAGTTCTGGCGTATCATCTCACTCTGTCCTAAGTTCCTGGGTGATTTGGGTTTGTCCCTGATCCACCCTCTCTGGGGCTGATGCCGTAAGAGAAACGGGGTGTTTTCCAAGGTCCCCGAAAGAAAGAGGAAGGCTGGCACCTATCACGCTGTCCCATGTTCCAGTGAGCAAACTGCCCGTTTTCTCCAGTGCCACAGAAGACGGCTAGGACCTGAACCTACCTACAGTGCAAAGAGCAAGCTCTGAAAACACCTGTCAGATTTAGTGGTTAGGCCTCTCAAACCTAATTGTTAACCAGGTATGAAGAACCCCCCCTTCCCCAAAAGCTGATCCCTTCCCACCTCCTGTTAGACATAAAGGACTGGTTTTGCCCATTTGCTCTCTTAGGAGGGTACAACATTACTAAGTATGGCGCCTTAGTAAGCGGATGGGTACTCACCTCTTTAGTACTTCCTTTGTGAACATAGATCCATTTTTCTTGATGGAAATCTACAGAGGCCAAAAACGAAACAGAAACGCATCTGAACAATCTGTAGCAGGCTTAAGATTTTAAATATGACTCATTTTTTATTTATCCCAAAGTTTAAAATGTTTTGACAAAAAAGACTTCAACAGTCTAGGAGGATGAAAATGTTCAGTTTTAATAGAGCCTTATATCCTCTGCCAACACATAAGTATCCAGACCATGTGACTTCAGATTTATGCAAGAGGGACATACCCATTTTCCTCTTTTGCCCTTTTATTTATTTCATTTTGAGACTGAGTCTATGCATCCCACATTGGCCTCAAACTCTTCCACCTCCTGAGACCCACGATGCGCAGCTCACTGGGTACTGAGGACGAATCCAGGCCTTTGCGCTGCAAGGCAAGCACGGAGCTACGTCCTTAGCCTCACGATTCTATTTTCAAAGCCTCAAAACCCAGCCGAAAATCAAAGCGCTGCTGGAATGGATTCAACTGTAGCCCTGTCCTGCAGCTATCTTACCAATGTCAAAGGCAAGTGACAAGCAGGGATCCGCTCAACCGGCAAGGACTTTTGAACAGTAAAGAATATGCTAATTTCGCTTGTGAGAAGCACAGTTGAGTTTGTAGAAGCAAAGATCCCAGAAACCTCAACTAGCATAGAGAAAGCATCAAGGGAGCTCTCGAATATGAGGCGCTAATGTGGTTTTTGAGAACCATTCATAAGAATCTTCCAATAGCCTTTTCTTTTCTCTGGGCACAGGGTCTCAAGGGGCCCCAGGCTAGCTTTGGATTTGTTATGTAGCAAAGATGGTGGCCTGAAACTTCTGATCCTGCTGCTGGGCTGGCCTTCACCCAGCCCTAAGGGACTGAACCCAGAACTCTGTGCATCCGAGGCAGGCACCCTACCAACTGAGCTATGTCCCCAGACACCTTTCTTCTTATATGCAAAACAAATGGCTTACACTGAGTTTTGGTTTTGCTGTTCAGTATGTCCTTCTTTCTCTTCTTGGCTGCAACATCATAATTCAGGCTGTTGAAAAGATTCTCCTTATTGTACACATCCTTGCTGCAGTAACTGTAAGGGAGGAGAAAGGGGATGGAATAGCTATACTTCCACAGATAACTCACTGGATTATAAAACACACCAACACATGCTTCCCAGACAAAACAAAACCATAAAATCATAAAAAAGAAAAGGGTCCATACAGCAGTGGTTCTCAACCTTTCTAATGCCGGGACCTTTTAATACAGTTTCTCATAAAATTATCTCGTTGCTACTTCATAACTGTAATTTCACTACTGCTATGAATTGTAATGTAAACATTTGACATGAGACCCCTGGGAAAGGGTCCTTCGACCCCAAAGGGGTTGTGACCCACAGGTTGAGAACCACCGCCACACAGGCACAAGCACAGACTTCTTTTAGTAAAAATATCAGCATCTCCATGCGGAAGGCAGAGATGGGGGCATGTGTTTCTTTTGAATTCCCTAACAGGGCCTTCCATTATAATTTGATACAGAACACTACACTCTTTAAGAGTGACGCAGCCTGTTACAGTATCACTTTCAACAAAAGTGCTGAACAGGGGAGGGAGATGGCTAGTATCATTGTGTCTGACAATGCAGGCCTTTGCAAGAGGCAGAGCATCTATTCCTAGCTGCCGTGGCTCCTTCCTTCCCTTTCCACCATCCTCCCTCCTTCCCATCGTCTCCAATCCTCAACCGCTTCTCTCTTTCTGAGACAGGGTCTCACTATGTAAATCAGGCTGACCTCAAACTCCTATAGTTCCACCAGTCTCTGTCTCCCCAGTGCTGTGATTAAAAGTGTGGGCCACCATGCCCATTATCTTTTTTTTCTTTTTCTCGAGGCAGCACTCTATGAAACAGTGCTGGCTGTCCTGGAACTCACTCTGTAGTCCAGGCTGGTCTCAAATTCATAGAGTGAGATCCTCTTGCCTTTGCCTCTCAAGAACTGGGCCTTTCTCTTCTTTTTAAGACAAGATTTTTACCGTGTAGCTCAGGCTGGCCTTGAATGACTATGCAGAACAGGCTGGTTTTGAACGCACCGTTCCTCTGTCTCAGCCTCCTGAGTACTGGGTGTACAGAACGCTGGGACTGCGGGCATGTGCTATCACATCCTGCCCTTCTCTTTATAAACAGTTTTATTGGGCTATAAATCACATATTATGCAAGTCATTCATTTAACGTATAACCAAGCGCCTTTAACTAGTGTGTTCCTGTGCTGCCTTTTAAAAAAACAGGATCACTATTACAAAAATCTGAGCTTCAAACTCCCCTTCCAGCAGTTATTTTGCATACAATGCTCATTGTTTGGGTTTCTAGGCCTCAGGCTGAATGGTTAAAGTATCCTCACAGAAACTAGGAAAAATGCATGAAAGGTTAAAGTGTTGGGTCCTAATAGAAACCAGGAAAAATGCATAATTCATAATTTAGAGGGGCTGAAAAGACATCAAACACACTTATCCAATTCATAGGTCACTAAAGGGTGGGTAGGTCCATATTTGGCCAGGTGCCTAATTTCTTCAGCAGGCTGAGGTGTCATGGGAGTAAGGGGGACTGTCTCACAATTTAAGGAAAATCCCTGAACACTTTCTGCAAGAATGATGGGGAAGAAATACTAAAATTAAACAAGAAGATGGGTTCCCTGCCTCTTTTGTGTTTTTTTTTTTTTTTTTTTTTTTTTTTGAGGCAGGTTTTCCCTGTGTAGCCAGCCCCCCTTGTCTTGGAACTCACTCTGCATTCCATGCTAACCTTGAACTCAGATATCTACCCGCCTCTGCCTTCTGAGTGCTGAGATTAAAGGTGTGTGCCACCACTACCCGGCTCCCTGCTTCTTTCAACTCCCAAAGAGGCAGGCAGGATATATAATTTATAATTCACACCTGTACAAATCTGGTGTGAATGTCCACTAAGCTATGAAGAGTCCTTTAACTGCAGAATTTTAAATGTGATTTGATTTAAATCTCTTTTGGGGGATGAATAGAAGTATATACGTTCTCCTCTATTTCTGGTTTTGTGTAAATGATAGAAGGGACAAGAAGGCCACAAAGTGTCCAGTATTCTTTCATTGCAATTACTGTCTCAATAAGTAGAACTTGTCTTAGTAGCTTACTAAAATGCTGACATCACCAGCTAGGTACTCTGTGCTGCTTTCGGAACCTGCAGGGAAAAATCTGACAGGCCACCAGTCAACCATTTATTGAGTTCCCTGATGTCTTTCGCCTTCTCTTTTTCATTCAGGGAAACAGGATATTTTTAGGCTTCAGAATGTGTGTTGCAGAGATGACCTCTCTCAGAGCCACTTGTCCGAGTGAGCCAAGGGTGAATGTTTTGGGTCAGGCTTTGTACAACTCCAGAGTGTGTGTTTGTCTTGTCTGCATGGCTTTGGGGGTACAGGGGAAAGAGTCACTGATGAGGTGATGTTTTGCTTCCAGTCAGCAGGAAGAAAGGAACGGAACAAAGACCAGAACTCTGAGCCGAGGAAGAGGAAAGGATGGAGAGTCACTTGAGTGGTCTGTGATGTCCCAAAGCGTCAGAAAACAAAGCTAGAACATTCTGTGGGCAAAAATACCACTGGAAGGCTTATTTTTAAAGAAATACACACAGAGCCCCACAGCCCTACAAACTATAGTAAAAACTCCATACCTAGGGAACAACAAACAAAGCTATCTGTCTTCTTGTAAGTCATACATATAAGGGGCTGCAGCAGCTTTCCTCCTTAGGCACGGAGAGCAACCAGGCGCTACAATGTTTAACCAAGTATGGCACCTCATCTTAGCCTTTTCTAATGGACAGGGTTCGAGGTAATTCAGCACTGGTTTTCTTCACAGATGCTACAATGAGCCACTTTAAGCTGGAGTGACTCATTTCCAAAGCCAAATCGAGAAGAATTTCACACCATTGATGATGCTCTCTCGATGCTGAGTATAGAGGAGTTTTAACCACAGGGAAACCCTATACATCTCATTTTGTATTAGGGTTTGAATGCTGGATGCTGGGCTTGGAAGCAAGGCTGTGAATTCACTTATGTTTTCTCTTAAGCAATAATCTTTTCAGTGGCTATTTTGAGACTTCAGTTATGTCTATTTCCAGGAAATGCAAAATCAATGGAAAACTACAACTCAAATGTTTAACAACAAAATGACTACCTTTTGTAAATTACAGCATATATAAAAATATATTTAAAATAAGTAAAACCATCTCAAGGAGCCTGCCTTGCTCACCAAATGCAACAAGTGAGTTGTTACTTTGTAACTACTTCTAACCCTGCTGTTTATAGGCATAGGCCAAGAATAAGGAAAAAGCCCTCCTCCACCCAGCACCCACATTACCAACAAACACATAGAAAATACTATAAGGCAACTGCAGAAAAGGTGGAAAGATTCCAAAACATGACCATTTTGGCAGCAGATAAAGGCGGGGATAGGAAATACGATCTTTATTTATTTCATCTGTAACTAAGATAAACATTTAATAAAACCACGTCCTGACCCAAAGTAGTTCTATAGTCTTGATTATGGCCAGTGAGGTTTCGATGTTTATTTGCACAAAGTCATATCCAGGTTGCCAAACTTCAAAGGACTACTTCCTGGATTGCTTTGGAGACACAGGCTAGCGCACGGAGATTTTTACAATACTGCCTCGCTCAGAGCAAGTGCTCATAAAAATATCTCTACTAGTATTTTTATTCAAGGCATAAAGACCAACTTCCTCCTTCCTGGGCCAGCCTTAGCAACCCACAGTTTGTATCACTGGAATGGGCTTTTAACTACAGAAGTCCAGGCTTGGAGAAGAGACTTGAGATTACTCATCTTGGGGGAGGCAGTGTGGGCCATCTCAGCCACCACTTCCTTGAAGCATTCTTGGATCACTCCAGCTCATACAATGTTCCTTCCTTGAAATTCTCATCTGCCGCACTTGCCATCCCTCCCTTAGCTTACCGGTCCTATGATTTAAGGGGCCAGCTTTAAGCTTATCTAAAGTTGGTGATCTCAGGAGGCATCTGACTGCTTTGAGACTGTAACATTTGGCTGTTGGAGGACAGGGCCCTGGACCACTGGGACAATGGCCAGCAGAGTCTAGAACAGGTGTACTGCGTAGGCAAGTCAGGGTTCACACTAAACAATAACCCCCCAAAGCAGCCTTTATTCTTCGCTTCTGCTGGGTGACTCTCAGGATGGCCTATGGAATTAGAGAAGCGGTCTGCCCCTTGGTAGCTCAGTGTACAGTTACTCACCTTCTCTTACAAAGGCCCCACCTTTTGTTTTCGGAGAACAAGAGAGGACATTCAAGCTCACCTGTGCAGCCAGGCACAGGGCCCAAACCTTACATCACAGGAAAGCCAAGCCGGAAAACAGTGGGATATTTGAGATCACAAAGCCAGACCTCAGAAGGCCACTGCTTTTAAGAAATTGGCAGACTCTTGAGCTAAGGAAGGAGGGGATTGTTTACGGTTGCTGGGGGGAAAATACCCGTAAACAGCCAGCTGCTCTTCTGAGGGGCAGATGACCAAATCAGTCCTCAAGTGTGACTCAGCAGAGGGCTGCAGGTGGTCACTGTGTCAGTCACTGCTGAGACAATGATGACAGAGAGGACAACAGCTTCAATTCACAGGTGTGATAGGCCAGAAAAGGGGGTCAGGAAGACTCCCAGCCTCCTTAAAACTTCAGGGGCAAGTTTATCTAATCTTCAGGTCTTTTGCAATAGGAAGAGTGGGGTGTCACTATTTCTGTAGTCTATCTCGTAGAGAGAGCAAGAACAGAGTGAGTATCCAGATGGACTGCGGTCTCTCCACTTTAGATCTGGACCTGCTGAACACAGTGGGCTGTCTGTCCTGTTTTATTGGGGCAAGTCACTGTGATGCAGCTGGCTGGGCCCCTGCAGTATCTCAGCTGGGACGAAGCTGAGCTTTTTATACAGAAACCAAGGGCTGAGATATTAAATTCTGGCTCCTAAGGTGGATGGTTTCAAGGAGGAGAAAGCTTCTGGTTTACTCCCTGCTCCCTTAGTTGAGGGAGAAGTACTAGGTATAACTGTTAAATCATTTTCTGGAAAGCTGTGAGGTGACAACAGTTGGTAATTTATCCGATTTTTTTTTGAGAATAAGATTTCTTTACAGTGTTCTAAATTCCCCTGGGGCTGCCTCAAAGGACCGACCACAAAGGCTAATTAATATATTGGGTTCTCCTGAAAGGCCCTAAGTTCAATGGTTCTTTCACCTCATTAAGAGACAAAGGGAATTTAAGCATTACGGATCACAATCAAATTGGAGACCGTGGAGGTCAAGCTGCCCATACAACAACAGTTTCTTGATAATTGCCAAACCTCTATTCAAACAACCATCAAACCTCACTCCGTGGGACCTGGCAAGCTCACAGAACTCTGTTAAGTCCGTTTAAGGATGCAGGGGTGTGTGTGAGTGTTAATCAAAGGCTAGTGGGAGGGGAAGGCACCCAAGGGTGACCTCAACTGCACCAGCCCCCTCTGAACACACTTTTAGCATGTTCCTTGGGTGTCTCAGGTGGTCAGCTGCTCCGGTTGGGGGTTGATTCTCAACCTCGTAATTTATGAGTAGGCACTCGTCCGACCTTAGATTTTCCACCAGGCGACAGAGCTCAGGTGAGATGTCAAGTCTGGGTGGTCTTTCTGCAGCTGGCAGGCACGCTAGGGATGGGAGTGTGCTCACTGTGCAGAGACTGACTGGTAAGGGCCACGGAGGAAGCAGGTGCAAGTGCCTGGTCCTTCCTGAAGCTGAGCATTGTGCATGCGTGCGTGCGTGTTTCATCCCTCCCTCCACTCCCTTCAGCCCCTAAACGTTACCGCTACCACCCACTCCGCAAGTCTGCCCAGGAAGGCGGCTGTCTCAGGGCCCATCGGCTGCCCCTCCCAGTTACTCTTTTTTTTTTTCCCCCCTCGGCCCACTCAGCAGTTGATTGTGTGTGGGAAGAGCCTTTGTGCACTCAGGGCAGGGCCCACGACTAGATCCACCATCCGGCGGCTCGTGACTACCGTGCTTGTTCTCCTTGGGTTCTGTCACAGGGCAGGGAAAGGCACACAGCCAACTCGCTAGCGCCCACTTAAAGCAGTAACTTCAGTTCCGGGGTCTAAAGGCAGAGTCCCTGAGTTGTGCGCTTGGGTTCAAGAAGTGTTTAGGGTCATGATCCCCAGTTGCCAGACTGAGGAATCCCGGGTTCTGTATGGAATCTTTTTCTCTGGGAGACACTGACCTTGGTCAGTAAGAAACACCGAATTAACCATCTCTGGTGTTCTGGCGACCTTTGTAGAAATTCGGGCATCTCACTCCTGCCTCCTCAACTGGAGGCCCCCTCTTTATCCTGGCCCAACCCCACTTGCCTTCCTTCCTCTGCTCCCGCGCTCCCACCCCCAGATCAGCTAAGGTCGGTTTTGTGGGGCTGGAAGTTGGAGAATGTCCTCACCTGCTGAGGTCGCTCACGAAGCTGCCGCTTTTCTCATCCAGGAAGCGCTTCCAGCCATCGGCTGTCTTCACCCAGCTCTGGCCCGGGGACCGCCAGTCCTGCCCAAGGAACGGCATGGCACCGAGTGCGGACGCGACCGACGGGCAGGATGGATTGATAGCCGGGGACCGGCCTGGCTGGCCCCGGGGATGCGCCGCGCTGGAAAGATGCTGGGTGAACTCAGGCGGCGACTGGGACAAGTGTGGGGAACTGGTGTGGAGGACTGTGGGTCTGGGGTGGGCGCGGGGGTCCCTGGACTCGCAGAGGGCGCAGGCGCTGGGAAGTGTCTCCTATCGCGTCGGACTCCGGGAATGCTGCGCGATTGCCGGGGCGCAGTATTTATCCCGGGCCTCTGCCCCGGCTCTTTGTTGCCGGAAGAGCCGCCTGCTCTTAGCCCGGCCCCCCCGGGCCCCGAGGCCACGTGGCTTTGTTTATGGGCTCGCCTTGTTTTCCGAGGCACCCGCGGCTCTCGCTCGGCTCGAGGTTGCACAACCTTGAGCCCGTGGAAATTTGAAGCCGCGTGGTCAGGCCAGATGTCTCGCTGTCCCTCGGTCCCCTGGCACCTCTGTACCCCCTCCCTGCCCCTCCTCCCAGCTGCTGCCGCCGAGATCCCGGCCCTGTACTCTGCACTACGTCCTCCCCACGGCTTTCGGACAAGCCAGATGCAGCTAGGAAGCCAGATCAGAGGTTTGGGAACCATTAGTCTCTAGGTGTCTGGGAACGTTCGTAGACAGATCAGCCTAGAAAAGGCCAGAATGTCAGGGGCAGGGTAGGGGCGCAGTCTTTGGACCTCTGACTGCCAGTACCAACTCCAGGCGCCAGGGTGTGCTAAGAGGAGGAGGGGGCCCGGTGCGGCAGAAGTGGGGAGGGACAAGCCCCCACCCCTTCCGCCTGAAAGCTGTCATTGATGCGTGTGCTGTCGGGCTCGACTCCCCGCCTCCATCCCCGCCCCCAGTGGCAAAAAATGGGGAAAAGAGGGGGAGGGCTTGCAGCGTCTGGACCCCAAGGCGTGGAAGTAAAGAGCAGAGACAATCCTGGGTCCCATCCCGGGAACTCTGAGCGAACATCGAACTGGCGACCGAGGCGCCTGGTCAGGACAACGCTGCTAGTGCCGTGGCGTCAGAAAAAGTCTCTGGCTATGCTCACAGTACCTGCTCTCATGCCCCAGGGCTGCGCGTTTATCCCGTGGAATCTTTAGAGCCCTCCTCTCTTGCCCTTTCTGCAGTTCAGTTCCCCGTGTCTTTTGGCCTCTAGTAAGAAAATCCTCTCCTGGGTTTCACATGGGACCTGTCTGGTGTCATCGCGGTTTTCAGGTGAAAGGCTGATGGGTCCTCAGAAAGGGTGAAGACTACCCAGGGTCTTATGTCTACTGTCTTCTCAACTCAGGGTAACCTTCCCCTTTCTGCAGAATAGAAACGCCCTTTTATTCTAGAGACATCTCAGCCCAGTGTCTTGCTACCAGGCCCAGAATTGGCTGCTCATAACCATTCTCTCTCTCTCCTCCCCCACGTGTGTGTGTGGGGGGGGGGGGAGCAGAAGTTAGTATCAGGTATCTTCTATAACTTTGGGTCTTATTTATTTTTGAGACCTACTCGCTGAAGCTGGGGCTCATCTGTTGGCTAGACTGGTAGGCAAATGAACCTCTGGATTCTCCTGGTTTTGCCTCCCAGCACTAAGATAAAAGCATAGTGCATTGTTTTGTTTTGTTTTTAACATGGGGGCTAGGGATCTGAACTCAGGTCCTTATGACTGCTCATCAGGACCTTCTCACCGAGACGTCTCCCTACCAAATCATCTCCGCAGCCCCTCCACAGCCCATTCTTGTGTGAACAAGTGCCTACTGCACCAGGGTGGGGTGGCTTCCTTCACCAGCCTCGCTAGTAAGACCCCTAAAGTTACATTCATCTGGTGCCTACGGTGGTACCAGGCAGGAGCAGTAAAAAAAAAAACCCTTGCTAGAGAATGAGCTTCCCGCACTCTTCTTCCACACCCCTGCCTCTGTAGCCATGGGCAGTGTCTCTTCCTCTGTGCACTGAAGCTGGGTAAAGCCGAGGAACGGAGTGTACCTAAGTGGGCCCCGTGTTGCGAGGGGGAAGGAGATGTTTTTAATAAAGTCTGTCTTCAAGTAGCCAGGATTTTCTGATTTTGGTTTCCCACCATAAATAATTTATTAGTGCGGCGATAGTAAAAGTGGCTTGTAAAAGCCTCGCAGAAGATCCCAAACAAATGTTAAACAGTGATGGGGCTAAGAGATGAGGTCTGGGCTTTCTTGGAGGAGGGTTGATACGGGCATGGAAACACAGGGGCTGTGACTGTTGAAGATGCAGGGGGCTACTTCCAGGAAGAAGCCACAGGAGTCTGGAAGGCCGAGGATTTGAATTCTAAGTTTGCTAAGACAGCTTACACTTCGCTGGGTGAACAGCAAAAGGCTCCACTTACTCAAGACAATGGTGCAGGGGATGCCTGCCTTTCGGACTGTTTAGAGAGGACAGTAGTTGGGGTTTTAAATGCCATTTCTTCCCTCTCTAGAATAGTGGTATGTATCCACGCTCTTGACCTGGCCCCTTGCAGGGGAGTGGAGAAAGCCTTGGGTGATATGTAAATAACAGCTGACATCCTGAATGTATATCGCTAGCATTGGACCAATGGGGGTGATAAAACCTTCTCCATCCAGGTTAGGCTCAGGAAATGGGCAGTTTCTTCCTATGTGTCGTGTCACAGTTTCCTCCAAGACTGAAACATCCCAAACTGCAGGTAAGCTCTTCAAGCAAGTAAGTAAATAATTCAAAATAGCTTCAGGAAGTCCCTGAAACTGTCCAGGTTCACGAGGCCCCTCCCTGCCAGAGTAAGCAACAAAGACTGCTGAGAGTCACTCTCAGAGAAGTCAAAATATGAGCAGGAGACTCAACCAAGCCAAGCTACAGAAACGACTCTGAGATCAGACAGGACGCCCGGGAGCAGCAGAGACTGCCGAGCAGCCTGGAAGAGGTTTAGAGTGGAGGAACTTGGAAAGGACACTTTCCAACCTGCTGCACAGCCTGCAGGCTGTGCAGTGTGCTCGAAGTTCCCATCTTTGTTCCCTGTCACCCATGCTGGGGGTCGACCTGGTGATGCAGCTGTCTCTGAGTCATTTCTGCTCCTGGAACTAACCTCTCACCCATATTCTTACAAGTAATCCCAATGACACTCGTTGGTTTACCAAGCTGGCCTTTGGTGGTATCCATACTTTGTTCTGTCACGGGCTCCCTCCCTAGACATGTGTGTAGTGTCCCCCCCTACCCAAAAAAAGTTTTGTCACATAACACTATGGCCCAAGTATGAGTATTTACGAATGACTGAGCAGTTGTGTATAAAACTATCAACCACAGCTTCCTCCCCTGGAATGGCTGCAGTTGAGACTGCTTCCCTACAGAGACCTTCCTCTGAGACCAGGTAAGCCTGCCTCTGAGGTTTATACAATCAACCTGCCTCCTCGATTCAGATGTACAAAGGGAAGGCTGAGTTTCTGGGCCGCTTCTGTGGTTGCTGCACCATCATCAGAGGACACGGCTCGGCCCACCCACGGCCGGATTTTCCCTACCTGTGCATCCTTTTCCTTCATTCTCTTACCACCCCAGTCTGGTTTCCAGAACCAAAGCCACGCACGACGTGGCAGCATCTTGATGGGCAATGTATAACCTTTGAGTTATTGGCCATGTGACTTGCTTGGGCCAATGGGACAAATGGTAGGAATGTGTGACGAGAGCAGAGGTTACTTGCCTATGGGCTTGAGAGCTCCTGTTTCTACCATTCGGTACCCTGGCTAGTCACTCTTTGAACTGCTTGAGTGTCACCATACGTCCTGGGATGTGACACATGAAACAGGTATCCCTGTTATCCTACATATGTTAGCGAGAAATAAATGTTCCCTGTAGAATGCTGCTGAGATTTGTTGTTCCACAACATCATCATCTCAATAGCAGGGGAAAGGAGCCCCCAAGACCAAGTTCTCAGCACAAAGGAGATTAATTTGTCCGAGAGGAACAGAGGGCAGGGAATAAGAGACAAAGGCAGGAGATAGAGGATGGGGGGGGGGAACAAGGGAAGAGGGGCAGGGATATTGTCCTGGAGGGACAAAGGACTGCCTCTGGATAGAGAGGAGACAGATGTGGGACAGAGGAAAATTGTGCCTGTACTACAGGATGGTACGCGAGCTGAGAACTAACTGGAGAACACACACACACACACACACACACACACACAGAGACAGAGACATGAGGACACGGGTCATCTTTGATACAAGAATGCCCACTTTATTGTGCTCAAGGGCAGCTTAGAGAGGGCTCTTGCCGTGCCCCAGCTCTCGGGATCTTTCAGCTGTAGAATCATTAGAACCCACTCCCCTGCCACCAGGGTCTCGTGCTCAGAGCAGAGGAAAACAAGTTGTTTACAAGAAATTCAGGGTCTGGTGATCCACAGTCCCCAACATATCCCTCTCTTCTATATAATTCGACCAAGGGTTTGGACTGTCATGGGTGTAACACAGATATGGCAGCAATAAGTTGAAAAAAAGCTTTAGCGAACATGCTCATTCTAGTATTCAATCTGGTACCGGCTACAAGATAGTCCCAGCAGTCGTCTGGCTGATGGCAGTTCTGGAGTGGCCACGAAGGAGGCTGCAAGCAGTGACAATAGCAGCCACCCACGGTGATCCCGGAGTCTTGGCCAGAACGGCTCCACCTGGCCAGGCAACGCACCTTCCGAAGCCCACCGCTTGGGAAGATCCAAGAATGGCAAAGCCAGGAACTGCAGCCGCCTCTGGGCCTCCCACGAACACTCACAGCAGTCTGCTGCCTCCCTTGCAAAGCTCTGCCCCAGCCGCCACCTCTCTGCTTGTGGGGACACCAGAAAGGCCCATGCTCGGGAATCGTGGAAGGGACCTGAGCTTGCTACCTGCATGTCTGCACTCCGCTGGTCGGGCCCACAATAACTGACAGGCTCCTGAGCTCCACTTAAACAATCATTTAAGGATAGATCTCTCTCCAGACTACTTTCTGCTATTAGGGGGTGCTGTATCTTTGGGGGTATTTTCGCAGCGACATTTCAGAGGGTTATGGTCCATCAAACCACACCAGTCCAGAAGGAATCCACAGGTTCTCATCTTTTGTGGAAACAAAAGCAGAACCTCTTCTCCAAAGCAACATATCCTTAGACCCATATTTTAAAGTCAAAATACCTTTTTAAAGCAGTTCTCAGACTCAAATATCTTTCTCCAGTCAAAAAACCAAAAAAAAAAAACCCACAATAATCCAAATTCT